GAAAGCAAGAGCTGTGAGCTTGACGCCAATGCATACTCTATCCACACTGTCGGCCTCTACTTGATTGTGAAACTTCTGAATGGAATAATCCTAATTTGGGACAAATATACAAAAGTGTCTGTGATTCTGGACCCACAGTGGCAGGTGCGTACATCTCTCCCAGGTGACGTAATGGGGGAGGTAAGCCATTTCTGTTTTGAAGACTTAGAGCTGGGTACTCACAGGCTGAACGTAGGGTGTCCTTAAGGTCACTTACAGAAATGAACCCACAACTTTCTCTTAAACTACCATGAAATATGAGTACTACCAAACGTGATAAAGTCTAGTAGAAATGTAAATGAAATCAATTCAAAGATTCATATTTGGTTACTTGAGACTACCACATGATATAATTTGGAAGTAATTACATATTTTGAATCAGATGCATTCCTTGCAACAAATATTCTAAGAATGCAAGCGTGTATACATGTATAACCAATTTGAAAACCGAAAATATAATTATTTTTTCATTTTATGATATTTATCAATATCTACTTGGTACTAGATCCTTTTATGGTATGGGGTACAAATTCTGATTTCCTCCTCAAAGCTAGAATTCAAGATAGATTCCTGATATGTTATATATAATTGTGATGTCTATCTATCTGTCTATCTTTTATCTATCATCTATCTATCCTCTATCAATCAAATCAATCAATCATCTATCTATGTATCTATAATCTATCATCTGTCTACTGTCTAGCTATCATTTATCTATCTATCTCCTATCTGTCTGCCATCTGATATATCTATATTTCCCACTGTTTTCCTGGTGTAACTGATTTATTTTTACTTATTATACAGGATTATATGAGGTCATTTCACTCAAGTTCATATTGTATTTGAGCAGTTTGGCCCCTACATCCTACTGCCCTTCCCCTTCTTACCCTGTGACCTCATATGAGTTCCCTTTCTTCTCCAGATATTTTCACTTCTACTTTATAGCATATTATATACGTGATACTATCTGTCTATCATGTCTAGGATTGTAGCAAAAAGAAAGTGTGTGGCATTTGTCTTTGTCAAGCCAACTTCATTCACTTAATCTGATTGTCTCCAGTTGCATTCACTTAGTAGTAAAGAACATAATGTTCTTTATGACTGGAAAGTTTCTACTGTGTGCATTTTCTTTATCTATTCCTCTATCGGAACTTAGGTTGGTTCCATAACAGCTAGTGTGAATCACTTTGCAATAAACATTAATCTGAAAGTATCTCTGGATAGCTGGGTCATATGATAAGTCTATTCTCGAGTTTAAAATTTTTAAAAAAATTTTATGTGTATGAGTATTCTGTCTGCATGTATATAAGTGCACCAGTTTCACCTAATGTCTGCAGAGGCCAGAAGAGGGTGTCAGATCCCTTGGAATTGGAGTTACGGAAGGTTGTTAACTGCTACGTGGGTGCTGTGAAAAGAACCAGAATCTTTTACCATAGCAGCCAGCGCTCTTGAGCCATCTCTCCAGTCCCTAGTGTTACTTTTTTAAACAGGCCTCCATCCTGATTTCCACAGTGGCAGGACTACTATACATTCTCCTCAGCAGTGTGTTCCCCTTTCACCACATCTGACATCTGTTATTGTTTTCTTGATAACGATCATTTTGGCTGGAGTGAGATGGGATCTCAATATAGTTATGATTTGCATTTCTGAGGCTAGGATATTAGTTACTGTATGTGGCTAGCCAATTTTGCTAGCTCCTGTTGTTTGAGAAGCTATCTTTTCTTCAACATATATTTTTGGCAATTAACAAAAAGGTCAGATGGCCATAGCTGCATGGTCCTCTATTCTCTTCCACTGATCTACTTGTCTGTTTTTCTAGTAGTATGATGCTGATGAAATTTTATTTATTTTATTAATTGATTGATTAATAAATTTCTGTTTTACAACTTGAGATCAGGCACGCTGATCCCCCCAGAATTATTCTCTTTGATCAGGATTGATTTGACTACCCAGGGTCTTCTGTGCTTCCACATGAATATTTTGACTGAGTTTTATACTTCTTTGAAGAATGTCATTGGAATTTTTATGGGGATTATATTGAATCTGCAGATTGCTTTTGACAGGATGACAATTTTCACAATATTAAATTCTTCTAATCCATCAGTATCTTCAAGTACCTTCAGTTTCTTTCTTCTGTGTTTTAAAGCTTTCACTGTAGAGGTCTTTCACTTCCTTGGTCAGGCTTATTCTTTTTTTAAAAAAATTATTTCTCAGCGTTTTGTTGTTATACGAAGACTGCTGATTTATTTCATCACTTTTCTGTTTTGCCACTTTACTAAAGGTGAAGGTGTTTATAGGTTTTTCTGATGGAGTCCTTAGAGTCTTTAGGTTAGAATTGTTTCATCTTCAAATAAGAATACTCTGACTTCTTTTGTTCCTATTTGTATCTTTTATTTTCTTCTCTTACTGTTCTAGCTAAAGCTTTAAGCTCTCTATTATAGAATATGGAGGAAGGCTGTACTTGTGCCTTATCTTAGTGACAATGCTTCCAGTTCTCTCCCATTTATTGTGATGCTGCCTGTAAGCCCCGTATATATAGCTTCTGTTATGTTGATATAGATCTTTTCTATTACCAGTCTCTGTGGGGCCTTCATGAAGGGATGTTGGGGTTTTGTTAAAAGCCTTATCCACATCCACTGAGATGATGATGTGGTTCCTGTCCTGTCCGTTAATTAAATGCATTAAATTGACTTGCATATGTTGAACCATGTCTGTGTGTCTGGGATGAAGCTGACTTGATGATGCGACTGACCCTGTACAAGTGATGCTTAAAGTTCTCTTTCTGATCACCACAGGGCAAAGTGTGTGGTCTCTGTGGAAATAACAACAGCGATCTCAAGGATGATTTCACAACGAGGTATTCATCGGTAGCTGCTAGAGCCCTGGAATTTGGAAATAGTTGGAAAACAAGTCAGGAGTGCTCAGATACTGTAACTCAAAGCTTCCCATGTGACTCCAACCCGTACTGCAAAGCCTGGGCTGTGAAGAAGTGTGAGATCATCACCGACAGCACCTTCCAAGAATGCCACAGCAAGGTAGCACCACTCCCACGTCGCTGCCTGGGGGTGTGTGTGGGGGGAACCCTCCAGACACTTATGTGCTGTGCTCTGCCTAGGTGGACCCCACTGCCTACTACGACGCCTGCATCGAAGAGGCCTGCTCCTGCGACATGGAGGGCAAGTACCTGGGCTTCTGCACCGCGGTGGCCACGTACGCAGAAGCGTGCAACGCAGTTGGAGTCTGCGTCTCCTGGAGAAAACCAAACCTCTGCCGTAAGTGAAGCCCGTGTGTCTGCTCTAAGTGGAATAGGAAATTGGTATACGTGTATAGAGCCATGACAGAAATCAGCCTGGCTTCCCCAGAAAGCAAAGCATTATGCAGGAAAAGGTGATGGGTCGGGACAGAGAGCTCAGAGCAGACCTCTTACAAGGTTTAGCCTTATATGATGATCCTCGTGAACTCACTATGTAGATCAGGCTGTCTTCCACCTCACACATCCACCTGCCCCTCTCTCCCAAGTCCTCCAAAATCCTGGGATTAAAGGCATGCAGCACAGCCTGGATATATCGACCTCTTTAATTACCTCACTTGGGACTATTACATATCTAAAGAGCTTAATTTTCTGATTTTTTTTGAGACAGAATGTACTGTAGCCCAGGGTATTCCAGAACTCACTGTGTAGCACAGGCTAGCCTTGAATTGATGATTCTTCTCCTGCCTCAGGATCTCTAAAGCTGAGATTACAGAAATGAGCCACCACGTCCAGCAATTGTTTCAGATTTATTTTTCCAACTTAAGCTTGAACATTAAAACTATGAGTCTAGAAGATGATCTAAAATATCTCCAAATGATATATGAAAGGGAACAGGTGGCTGAATTTGTAAGCTGCCCCCGCCCTCTTTTGGACTGTATGACAATTTAGATAAAGCAAAAGGAATTTGATGAGACAGAAGGACATCTATTTGGGTCTATTTATTGTTAGTGTCATCTTGGATCTCTTTTAAAATTTCTTTGTAAAATGAAAAGTGAAACTTGCCATATAAAGAATGAAGGTAATTTGATCTAATTCAATCACAGCTGTGTACTGCGAGTATTACAATGCCCCTGGGGGATGTAGCTGGCACTATGAGCCTTGTGGTACGGTGACTGCAAAAACATGCAAAGACCACGTCATTGGCCAGAAGTTTTCTTCACTTTTAGAAGGTAAGTCATATTTAAAGAGTATCCACAAAGTCATGAAAAGATACTATCCTTTAAAATTGGAAGTGTTCATTTCTTCCAATTCAGTCTTGTATTTTGTAATTTAATAAAGGATTTTTATTTGTTTTAACAACATTCCTACAAGAATTTTATTTAAATACAAATTATTGCAGTAGGGAGAGAAGACAGTGATGGGACCCACTGCCTGCCATTATTCTTGTTCTGTGACAAAGCCCCTGAATGAAAAAGTATCTAATGAACACATGTATCAGGAAAGTGTTTCACTAGAGGCCAGTTCACTGTGTCCCACACTTAAACAGCATTTTATTCTAACCATTATACACCTTAGAGAAAGAATAAAAAGATATATGAATTTTCCAAAAGTCACATCGCTGTCCAAATCCTGGCTGTTGAGATATTTTATGTGACTTCTATGTTTGCTAGACTCTTGCAAAAACAGACATTTGAAAGTGGTATATACATTCAAGAAATATATCTACCAAAGCCTGTTTCATTTCACCATGCACATTATTAAAACAGGAAATCATTCAAAAGTACTTTAGAAAATTATCTATCTATCTATCATCTATCTATCTATCTATCTATCTATCCGGGGACTATGAAGGTTGGGATGGAGTTGAGAGTTGCTGGGGGGTTCTGAACATGTCAAAAAAATTGCATGAAATTCTCAAAGGATCAATAAAAATATTATTTAAATTTTTTAAGAATTTGTCTCTATCACTATCATCTATCTATCATCTATCTCTATCATCTATCTATCTATCTATCTATCTATCTATCTATCTATCTATCTATCTAATCATCATCTCTCTCTATCTATCTATCTTTCTATCTATCATCTATCTATGCATGCATGCATGAGTGTTTTGCCTGCATTATATCAGTGCACTTGAATTGTGCAGTGCCCGTGGAAGCCAGAAGAGGGCATCGGATCCCCGGGAACTGGAGCTATGCATAGTTGTTGGTGCTGGGAATGGAACCCCAGTCTTTTGCAAGAGCAGCCAGCGCTCTTAACCACCCAGCCATGTCTCCAACCCCACTTTAGGAAATATTTTGGAGAAAACTTAAATGACCAAATCCCTTACGTTCTCAGGTCGGTATTATGACTGCAGTCGTAGCCCCCCTGGTGTCCATCTTTGTAATGCCTTGCCATTGTCTTTTGTTGACCGAAACATTCAAGTAACTTCAACGAAGCATACGAGTTTTTCAAATGGAGATGAATTATGGGTTATTTTCACGTGCAGGTTGTTATGCCAAGTGCCCAGAAAATGCGCCCTACCTGGACGAGAACACCATGAAATGTGTTCAGCATTCGGAGTGCAGCTGCTTCTACAACGACGTCATTCCAGCAGGGGGCGTCGTTGAAGACGACTGTGGTAGAACTTGGTATGCCCTCTGCCTTTCCCAACAAGCCATCGTGATGTACATTTAGGAGAGCAAGCAGACAAACCGCATGCGTGTTTTTGTGTGCATGTGTGTGCATGCATGTATGTGTGAAAATTTTAGTTCCGACATTTCTAAGAAGGTTTTAAGCTCAAATTTTTGTCCTTGATTATAATTATCTTACATGTCCAGAAAACTCACACACCAGAAAATGGTTTGTTAAATCTTAACAATAAGAAAATAGCAGAGAAAGTCACTGTGTAGTTTAAGGAAAAAATTATGATTCTATGAATGTAAGTCATATTTGCAGGCTTTCAAACACAGAGGCACACTGACGAAGCTCACTAGGGAAATGCAGCCATTAAATAATGTGTTTGAAGCTGATAAGGTCTAACTTCACAGCCCGACTGAAAAATCATGCCTTTAGCTTCCCCAACTTCTCAGTGTCACGACTGGGAATAACTGCCTGAAATCACATGTCTACAATTAATAGTATGCTCTCAGAGAAACAATTATTTACTGTTGGTCTGTATGATTGTGGCTGTCAGACAATTTGTTGTCTTAACTTTGTGAAATGTGTGCCGTTAGGAGACATAATTCAAACTCATTCTTTTCCCTTTTAATTTCAACTTTCAGCTACTGTATCGCTGGAGAGCTGGAGTGCAGTGGTAAGTCCTCACATTTCACGCTTGTTGGTCTAAGAAAGGTGAGATAAAGGGCCATGGGATTCGTTTTAGACTCCATGAAAGAGCATGGCATGCTTTTGACTACTAGTCTGGGGCTGATAGCGTTCCAGCCCTGTGTGGCCGCTCACTCAGTCACCCTTCAAAGCCAGGGTTGCAAGGCCATTTTGAGTAACTTTTGATGTGGCGATGGCCGATACTCATGGCTGGGTTCCCTACTGTATGCACTGATATCTGGGGGGTTAGGGAGTTAAGAGGGTGAAAAGGCATCACCTTAATGAAGGGAGGGAGAAGGTGAGAAGAAATGCAGAATGGATTAAATAATTGAAGATTTAGGAATTTCTCATGATCAAAGCATATGTTACCGTTAAATCCTTGGCTTAAAATGTGACTCTGCAACATGGTTCTTGCCCCCGTCAGGTATAGGGCAACGCCTGGGTTCAGTCCCCAGAGTCTTAACTAATCAGGGCAAAAACAACAGAAAACAAACAAAAAAACTCAGTAATCTTAAAAATACATGAACAATTTATGTTCTGTTTCAAGAATTATAGGATATAAAACAAAAGAGACTTGAATTTAAATAACTTAAGGTGCAGTGTTTTTTTCAAGTTTTGTTAGTTCCTGCCAATCATAGTAATCTATGGTCATTTCAGAA